CATCCTCGTAGCCCTCCGCTGGACTCTCTCCAGTAGCTCCTCATCTTTCTTGAACTGGGGAGCCCAGAACTGGACACAGTACTCCAGATGGGGCCTCACTAGGGCAGTGTAGAAGGGGATGAGAACCTCCCTCGACCTGCTGGCCACATTCCTCCTCATGCACCCCAGGATGCCATTGGCCTTCTTGACAACCAGGGCACACTGCTGGCTCATGGTTAACCTGTCGTCCACCAGGACACCCAGGTCCCTCTCCACAGAGCTGCTCTCCAGCAGGTCTGCCCCAAGCCTGTACTGGTGCATGGGGTTGTTCCTCCCCAGTTGCAGGACCCTGCACTTTCCCTGGCTGAACTTCATCAGGTTCCTCTCTGCTCAACTCTCCAGCCCTTCTGGTGTATCTGCCACTCCTCCCAGTTTTGTGTCATCAGCAAACTTGCTGAGGGTACACTCTGTCCCTTCATCCAGGTCATTGATGAAGAAGTTGAAATTTAATGCCTAACCTTTCAGTCTTCAATAAGGCTGAGATAAACCTAACTTCTGACCAGGTGGACCTTGCTTTTTCATGTTGTGTAGCTTAGCGTGTGCACATGCACATTGTCTCTCTTGGGAAAACTGATTGGCTGCTGATCTTGGGAGCAAGGCAGTGTTTGTTCCATGCTTGGACACCTTCTCTACCTCCTCCCTACACAAAGGTCTTTCTATGAAACTCACTTTGCCTTCTTGCCAGTCCCCACCTAAGCTTGTACCCGTGGTCTTCACCGTGTTTAAGGTGGGTTGCCCTTTCCCAGGAGCTCCAGGGTTCTTGTGTCATCTCAGGACTTGGCAGGCTGGGTGCAGACCTTGGGGAAGCGGGGGGCAGGGGGTTGCACCCTGAGTGTGTAAGGCGCTATCTAAATTTTCCAGTGGTACGTGTGTTGTCTCCCTTTTCTTTTGTCTCGGGTGAGCAGCTGAGCTCAGCGATGGTCCATCCTTATTGCCACCCGGGGTGTGGAACAGGCAGGCTGCCGTGCCCAGGAGGAAGAGGAGCAGCATCCCGTGGGGTGTTGGAACCAGATCGGTTACCAGCGGTGTGCCAGAAGGCTTTGCCAAGACCCCTTTCTCCCACAGCTGTTGCACTGAGATCCCTCTCTCCTCTCCATACAGGAGATAACGCGGCGCATGTCGGAGGCAGTGGAAGGGCTTGCACGAGCCATCCCCTCGGACATGGAACGGGAGAAGGCCATGTTGGTGCTAGCAATGGTCTTGACTAAAAAAATTGCGAATACGATGCCTTCCCTTCTACAGCGTGTCTTCAGCACCACTGTGAGCTACATCAGCCAGCAGCTCCACAACTACATCGTCAGAATGGTGAGTGCCGTCAGACAGCGCGGGTTAGCCCTGGCTCTGAGCTGCCCGTGGTCTGCTGCGTTCCCTGTAGCGCTTTGGAGGTCTGGCCGGAAGGGAAGGCCAGTCAGTCCCTGGGGAGCTCCGAAGGCTGATGGGCTGAGGGAGGGAGGCTGGAGGGGAACACCTCACGGCTTCTGCTTGCCCTACTCTCACAGCAGCCGGTGGACAGAGGGCCTTTAGCCCGCAGGGCAGAGAGAGATATGTGATTGCTCCTCAGTCTCTTCAGGGAGCTGTGCTGATAAGATGGGTTAATCATGCCCTCAGGGAAGGAAAGCCTGACCTGAGCTCCAGTGGCTGTACTTCCCAAGGGCCTTGGGCCTGAGGTCTCTGCTCTTACCGTCCTGGGCTCCCCGGAGCTTGACAGAACTGGAAAGGGAAAGGAATTGCCCTGAGAAACAGCACCAGCGAAGGAACAATGAGAAGTGGTCAACTGGGAAAGGGCAGCTCTGTTTTTGTTCTCTGCTGGAGCTGCGGCGTGGGGGGGAGGCTGAACAGCTAGCAGTCAAGCCAGGGTCGAGGCCAGGGCATCTGACCCCAGCTTCAGTGAGAACCTGTCAGGGGAGGGGAGAGGAAGAAACCCCCCGGTGTGTGTTTGTGTCACTCGGCGCTGCCCTCCCCGTGGCCCCGCTTGGCTCAGGGGGCTGCTCAGTTGCTGCAGAACCGGTCACTACCGTGAGCGCCTGGCCCTGGGGCTGCTGTGGGAGAGCTGCTGCTGACGGCACGGCGCAGCGAGGGCGGGCCAAGGGCTGCGGGGGCCCTGGCTGCG